AAAGATCTAGCTGTTACGATCTAAAAGGGAAAGACGTATTTGTTAAACCACAGTTTAGAACAAGTTTGAAGGGAAGATCTACCGTAATTCAGGGAGTTGGTTTATGGAATGACTTAGTAAAAGAGGTTAAGGATGCTATATCAATTTATGTATTTAAGAAACTGATTAAAATCAAATTGTTAAATGAATATCAATGATTGTATTTTGATGAGTATTGTATGAGAATTGTAAAATATTTTGATTTACTTACTTGTATTCACTGTTTACAGGAAACGTTTGTTTGAATTGCTTATTAGATAAATAAGGAGCAGATTTAATAAGATTTTTTTTCTTCATCTGCTACCTTTCATTTTATATTTAATATTTTGTTGTTGTTACATATATGTTGATTATGTTGATTGTTATGTATTTATAAAATGAATAAATAAAATAAATAAATAAATAAAATGGCGTCTCATGTCACTGATTAAACACTCCGCTCACAAGTTATCTTGGTCACATAACAGAAATTTAACTCGAAAAAGAAAAGAATCTGTTGTAATTAAACAATTAATATTCTTTGTGCTTGAACTAGCTTTAAGAATAATTAATTAGTAGTGTGTCCACAGCAAAGCTGTCCTGAGATACTACAGCAGTAACAACTTGATGCCTTAAATGGGCACAATGACAACTGCAGCCAATCACCAACTAGATCAAACTAGTAAGGGGAAAAAATGGGTTTGACCAGCAAACCCTAAAGTCAATAAAAACCAAGCCCAGTAGTGAAACGGGGCTGAACAGACCATGGTAGTCTAAAGAGGAGGACGATGAGGCTGCATCCCCAGGGGCTACACAGAGGAACTTGGAACAGCTCATAAGAGGATTCTTACTCATCAAGATAGGAATACCTTTTGTTCAGTCGGGCTGATGCCAGACCAGATTCCTCAGGATCAGGACGGCTTTTGGGGGTTAAAGGAGAATTCTTCTAGGTTTCTGGATGAGAGATTATCATGCCATTTTCCAAAAGTCTTCGGACAGAAATGGTGAGCGACTCCTACCCATTGTCCAAATAATAAATTTATATGAAATAACAGTGTTTCTAAATTAAGGGGTAAAGTCAGGGCGAGAGTGTGTTGTTCTGCTTCCAGCACTCATGAAAAGTCACTGCATAAACTGTGTGCTGTCAAGGTGGTTTGTAACAGGTTTGGCTAAACTTGGTTGGTTGGTTAGTGAAACAGATTTAGAGGTTTGAGGGGTTTTAACCTGCCTTGGGGCTCCAAGCGCATAACAGTCCACCGTGTAGGAACAGGCTGCTCTATAACAACAGCTCAAGAGTTAGGAGACAGGACTCTCCAACCTGGCTTATCGGAGTCAGGGGAGCCATGCCTTGTGGACAAAATAGGACCCTGAATGTCACACAAAACCCATAAGACAGTCCCTGGAACCAGGCATGAATTCGCTGTCATTAGAATTGTTGGAATGATCAAATGTAATCAATTATAATGTGCTAATAATGCTGTACCCCTGCAAATCCTCGATTAAAGCAAAGCATAAAATGTAAAATTCTGGACTATCATTTCTACACTTTGGGTTCGAAAAGTTGGAAAAGCTTGGTTCAATTTCATCAGAAAAAGGAGGTTTTTAACGGTTTCGCAGCTTGGATCAAACAACACCCTGGAATCTTGGGCCTAGATTCTAAAACTACTAGATCTGTAACAATTGCAGTTCTACAATAGGAGGTGAGCGGCCTAAAAATGCCAGTTTCCCCTTGATTAACGTCCCAACTCCGACTACTAGGTTGGACGAGTCTAGGGGTGAGATAAGGGTGTGGCTCGCAACTGATGGTCGTGAACAGTCTGGGTGAATCACTTCCAATACAGCCTTAAGCAAAACTAATCTAACATCATTTTGGGTAAAGCTCAAGTGCTCGATTAGTCCAATATACCCCTTAGAGGAGATGCTGCAGTGGGGTTTTGCCATAACTCCTGTGGTAATCTCACTGGGTAGAAAAACACCAGCTGAAATAGTAGACACAGCTCCGTCCTCGGAGTTCTTTGATGAAGAGGAGTCCGGGCGTGGAGATAATGAATCAGGCCATTCAGGCTCTTTAACACTCACAGGCTGACTTTAATGAGGGGGGGTGCGCGCTGCTGCTGTCCTTCTCTCTCCTTGCAGAAAAACACGGAGCAACTTTCTGCTCATAAATTGAAGCCGTTTGACAACACATGCGCCACACACATGAACCCCGTCTGTGGGCATCCCCAGCACCATAGACATACATTAGACATAGATTAGGTACGGAAGCTCTATACAGCTCTGGGTGTAAACACATAGTCTGTTTGTAATATGACTGGTGTTTTACCTGCCTGCATGCTGAAACCACGTGACACGTTACAGCCAATACCGAAACTTGACACCGAAAAAAAGAGTGACGTTTCAATCCATACACCGACCGGTGCAGTTTGGTTGGTGCAATAAAATAACCTTGGTTTGGTACTCAGCCCTACTTTTATCCCCCACATTAAATACGTTACCAGAACTGCATTCTTCCACCTGCGTAATATCGCTAAAATCATGCATTTGTCACGTCTAGACTGGACTAATGCAATGGTTTATTATCTGGGTGTCCAAAAACTTTTTAAAAAGTCTTCATTTGATCCAAAACGCTGCTGCCAGAGTCTTAACTGGAGTTAGTAGGAGAGATCATATATCTCCAGTTTTAGTTTCTTTCCATTGGCTCCCTGTCAAGTCCAGAATTGAATTCAAAATCCTACTTTTAACCTACAAGGCTCTCAACAACCTAGCTCCATCTTATATTACAGATCTTATTGTTCCATATTTTCCTAACAGAGCACTTTGCTCTCAGACTGCAGGTTTACTTGTGGTTCCTAGAATTTACAAAAACAGAATGGGAGGCAGATTTTTTAGTTATCAGGCTCCTCTCTTGTGGAACCAACTTCCAATCTCTGTCCATGAGGCTGACACATTATCCAGTTTTAAAACTAGGCTTAAGACTCTCCTTTTTGCTAAATCCTATAGTTAGGGTCAGCTTGGTTTTCCTGAGCTGTCCCTTAGTTATGCTGCTATAGGCTTAGACTGCTGGAGGACAAATTGACCACACTTTTTCACTCTGATACTGTCTTTACTTATGCCCCTTTTCCATTAGTACCTGTAGTACCGGTACAGCACGGCTCTACTCTACTCGGTACGGTACGGGTTGTGTTTCCATTATGCTTTCAGTACCGGTTCCAGTGGGTGGGGTTCAAATTGACGTCACCACCTCTCACCAGCTGGTGGCGCTGAGACGCAGAAACTGTTTTCAGTACAGGTTGAGAATTTATGTTATTTTGAAGTTTTGTGTATGTATGTATGCTTGTATGTGTGTATGTACATGTGTATAAATGTATAAATATATATATATACACACACACACAAATATATATGTACACAGATGTGTATATATATATATATATATATATATATATATAT